TTATGAAAAGAATTAAAAGGTACCTTTCCAATTGAGAAATTCGATGTAAGCTATTTTATAATGTAATTATCAAAATTACTATCACCCATAATGGAATAAATGACATTATATACCTTCTGAGGTAGTGTATTGAAAAGGATACAACATTACCTGTGTGGTGTTGATGTAAAAATATTTCATCTGAATCTAATCATTAAGACATGGTAAAAATTCCAAATTGAGGAATATGCTGTAAAATGATTCTTCAAAAATGGAAGTTTCATGAAAAAAAAACAGTTGTAAAAATGCATTCTTTAAACTGTTGCAGTTTAAAGGAAACTGGAAAAATATGACAGTTAAATGTAATGTGCAATCCTTGGTTGTATTCTGGATTTTAAAAAAACAACCACAAAAGGCAATATTGGAACAATTCAGGAAATTAGAATATGGAATATATATTAAGTATTAGGATTGCATTCATGTTAAGTTTCACTGAATTGAGAACTATATTTGAAATTATGTGGGAGAATGCTCCTGTTCATAAGAGGTACCTGTTGAGATATTTCGGGATGATGTATCATGATGTCTGCAACTAACTCATAGCAAAACTAAATGTTTACATATTGTATCTGTCAGCTATTGTCACATAAAACAGTGTGACAAAACACCTCAAAATTTAGTTGCTCAAAACAACATTAATTCCCACTCATGCATATAGGAGTCAGCAGATTTAGGCTGAAATCAGCTGTGCTTGATTCAATATGCAAGCTGTGTCCAGTGCTGTTCCATCCTCATCCTTGGGTCAGTGGGCTAAAATGAGAATGTTCTTATCAAGGTGACAGAAGAACAAGAGGTCAAGCCCAATTATTATAGTATATTTTAAGCCACAACTTGGTTTACCCTGTGTATTAGTTTCTAGGACTGCCATAACAAATTACCAGAAACTGGGGGTCTTAAAAATTATAAATTATTTTTTTTGATATTTAAAATTTATGGCTTTGGGATGCATTATTTGAAAATTGATTGCACTAAGACTTTTAGGTGGTGACTACAGTTAATAATACTATATTGTATATTGGAAAATTGCTAGAAAACAGATCTTAAAAGTTCTTATCAGGGGAGGTTAGCGGGGGGTTAAGTGAAATAGGTGGGGAAAGAGGAGTCTATGTGTTGTGATGAGTACACCTGAAACTACTATAACACTCTTGACCATACTGGAATTAAAATAAATTTTAAGAAGTTCTCATAACAAGAAAAAATATTCTAACTCCATGGGGTGATAGATTTTAACTAGACTTAGCCTGGTGATCATTTCATAATATCTACCAATATGGAATCATTATGTTGTACATCTGAAACTAACATAATGTTACATGTTAATTACATCTCAATTTTTAAAGATTCCCTAGGATGTCATAAGCTTCTGCATAATGTGTGAATCACTGGGAGAAATATCTTCCTTTTTAAAAATGTTATTTATTTATTCATGAGAGAGAGAGAAAGAGAGAGAGAGAGAGAGAGAGAGAGAGGCAGAGGGAGAAGCAGGCTCCTTGGAGGGAGCCCAGTGTGGGACTTGATCTCGGACCCCAGGATCACGCCCTGAGCCAAAGGCAGACGCTCAACCGCTGAGCCACCCAGGTGTCCCAGTAATATCTCCCCCCCCTTTTTTTGGAAATATCTCCTTTTTAAACAAAAACTCTGTGGACATATATTGACTAAAGATAAACATGTCTCATTCTCTCCCTTACAATATTCAGGACTCATATTCAGAATAGATGAAGAGCTACAAATCAACAGAAAAAAGGTAAATGATCCAATGTAAAAACTGGGCAAGAAACCTGAACAACCCTCCCTTCACCCAAAGGATAACCATGGGACTAAAGATATACTAAACAGTGTCGGATCCTATTGGCTAGTATCTTCTTGAGAATTTTTGCATCCATGTTCATCAGGGATATTGGTCTATAATTCTCCTTTTTGGTGGGGTCTTTTTCTGTTTTGGAATTAAGGTGATGCTGGCCTCATAGAACGAATTTGGAAGTACTCCATCTCTTTCTATCTTTCCAAACAGCTTTAGTAGAGTAAGTATGGTTTCTTCTTTAAACGTTTGATAGAATTCCCCAGGGAAGCTATCTGGGCCTGGACTTTTGTGTCATGGGAGGTTTTTGATGACTGCTTCAATTTCCACCTGCACCCCGATGTTTCTAGCAGCAATGTCCACAATAGCCAAACTGTGGAAGGAGCCTCGGTGCCCATCGAAAGATGAATGGATAAAGATGTGGTCTATGTATACAATGTAATATTACTCAGCCATTAGAAATGACAAATACCCGCCATTTGCTTCGACGTGGATGGAACTGGAGGGTATTATGCTGAGTGAAATATGTCAATCGGAGAAGGGCAAACATTATATGGTCTCATTCATTTGGGGAATATAAATAATAGTGAAAGGGAATAGAGGAGAAGGGAGAAGAAATGGGTAGGAATATCAGAAAGGGAGAGAGAACATGAGAGACTCCTAACTCTGGGAAACGAACTAGGGGTGGTGGAAGGGGAGGAGGGCGGGGGGTGGGGGTGACTTGGGTGGGGGGCACTTGACGGGATGAGCACTGGGTGTTATTCTGTATGTTGGCAAGTTGAACACCAATAAAAAATAAATTTATTATTACAAAAAAAGAAAAATAAACAGTGTCCTACCTCATCAATAATTAATCATCAGAGAAATACAATTAAACCCATACTGAGATACCAAGAATGGATAGACTTTAAAAAAATAAGTAATGCTAGGTGTTGGTAAGAATTTGAACAACTGGAGTTTACACTGCTGATGAGAGTATAAACTGGTACGACCTCTTAGCAGTTTGACAATAAGAAGTAAAGCTGAAAAAAACATACCCCATGACATCAATGCCTCTTCTGGGTATATGCCCTGTTACCCAAAATACATATACATGTTTACAAAGTGACACATACAAGGGCACACTGCTATGAACAGTAGCAGTTCTCAATCAAATGTGCAAATGAGTTTTGCTATATTCATACTGAAAAAGACAAAAGCAATATCTGATAGCTAGTAGCTGATCTGATACTCCAAGCTGGGCCATGGTGTTTGCCTATTGAACAAAAACAATTTCATAGAACACCAATGTTACACAATGCCACTCTGTGACTGTGATGGATCAAATTTCAGATAAGAGCACGCCATAATCATGTCTAAACACAGACAAAAAGAACACTATCCAATGCACAAAAATGATCTATCCTGGCTAGTATGTATGATCAATCACAGCTTTTTTGCCAGTCCCAGCTTTACCTCCTCCTTTCTTCTCACTTTCTACCTAAGAATTATTAATATATCCAACCATAGTATCAACTCCATTTCTGGCAGCATCCCATCCAAACAAAGTCCTATTTCACCACCTGAAATCATTTTCTAACACTCTCTTACTGAGATGTCCCATGATTCTCTGTGGTGTGCACTTGGAAGAAAATTTGCATTGAGCATATTTATTCCAGTAAGTCAGAAAATACAACTCTTTAACTACAGGTGCATTCCTGATGCCCTGTGGCCAAAGGGTATTGACAATACTCTGGAATTCTATACAGCAATGGAATGGATGAATGAGAACTAAACACAACAACATCAGTCTCACATTGAGCTAAATAATGAAGGAAAGAAATTGGATTCAAAAGATTATTCACTATAAATGTCATGTGTTTTTTTAACCATAGTAAAAAAAATTACCTTTCATATACTTTATTGTATTTCTTTATGTAGTTTTTTAAAGAGGCAAAATTAAGCTGTTTAGGGATGCACACTTAAGCCAAATGTTAAGATTTGTAATGTAGATTGAGGGATCCATCTTTTTTGAGGTGGCTTATCATTCTTAAACCTTCTACGATCCTATGATTGTAAAAGAAACTCTGAACAAATATCTCCCAACTTTCTCTCAGGTTGTTTTCAATATATGTAAGTTGTCTGTTATTTCATTTCCTTTCTAATCCAATGCCAAACAACTTCATTTCATTTATCCACCATGTTATCTGGGAAACAGTAATGTACTAATTAACAGCATAGACTCTGGAGTCAGACAAAATTAAATTGAATTCCTTCTCTAATATTTATTAAGTTAGGGGGTCTTAGGAGAGTGACATAACTTATCCAGTCTCAGTTTCTTTGTAAAAAAAAAAAAAAAGAAGAAGAAGAAGAAAAAGAAATACTGATGTGTGCTTCATGAAGTTGTTGCAAGGATTTAACTAGATAATGCACGTAAACAACACAGTACCAGCACTATATGGAACCATACTCAGTAAATATTAATGCCATCAAAAAATACTAATACCATCATAATCATAAGTGCCAAACCAACTGTTTCCTGAGTGTTTGAGTGTTCTGGGAAAGGAATGGATTTATGCAAATCAAAGCCAGTTACTCTATCAATGGACACCAGGTTCCTGAAGGAAACATCTGTCTGTCCCCTTTCTTTTTCCTGCTGATCACTGTCTCCGATTCTCCATCCCTCTCTGCCCTCCTGCCATCCGGCTCCAGGACGTTTTTGCCTCTCCCTGGATCTCAGGGCAGACTGTGTGGAGTATTCAAAATAGCTTGCTTACTCCTCAGTGTTTGCCGGTTGCCGCAGCGGCACCAGCCGGCTGGCTCTCAGGTAGGCGACTTCAGTTTAAGTAACCTCATTGGCTTTTTAATTCCCAAGGACTTTTTTTCTGAAAGGGAATTAAAAGGCGAGTCAGCCGTTGCTTTGGCAACGACTTTCATCCTCTACCTGATCTCCGGAATGAGAACATACCTATTAATACAGTGGATAGACTGGGGAGTTGAGTTGCTCAATGCAAATTTTCTTCCAAGTGCAAAACAGCTTACTGGGCGCGGCTAGCGGTTGATGGCGCTGCGGTTAGAGCCGAGCAAAGCTCAGCGCCTGCAGTTGCAGGAACCTGTCGGCAGAAAAGTGAAGTATATCCGCAACAGGTGGTGGCTGCTGCAGAGAGTGCACTTGTGAGAACGGATGGCGGTTGCGCGCAGAAAATTCTTGCAGAGCAGGCAAGTAGGGTCTCTTCTCTTTTTGTTGTGCATATCTACGGGGAGCGCGGCCACTATCCGCTATTCGGTGGCGGAAGAGATGGAGAGTGGTTCGTTTGTGGCTAATGTGGCCAAGGACCTGGGGCTGGAGGTAGGGAAGCTGGCTGCGCGGGGGGCGCGACTGGTTTCCGAGGGCAGCAAAGTGCATTTCCGGCTCCACCGCAAGACAGGGGATCTGTTCGTGAAGGAGAAACTGGATAGGGAGTCGCTTTGTGGCAAAGCTGACCCGTGTGTGCTGCACTTTGAAATAGTCCTGGTGGAGCCGCTGCAGTCCTTTCGTGCTGAGGTCAGGGTATTTGATATCAATGACAATGCCCCGATTTTCCTGAACAAGCAGCCGCTTTTAAAGATTCCGGAGAGCACACCCTTGGGTTCACGTTTTCCTCTGCAGAGCGCCCAGGATCTGGACGTGGGCCTCAATGGTCTTCAGAACTACACCTTGAGCCCCAACGCGTATTTCCACCTGCACACCCGTTTTCGCAGCCAAGGGCCCAAATATGCCGAGCTGGTCCTGGATAAGCCTCTGGACAGAGAGGAGCAGCCTGAAGTCAACCTGACCATTACGGCGGTGGACGGCGGGTCCCCACCCAAATCTGGCATCGCCCACATCCGCGTGGAGGTTCTGGACGTCAATGACCACGTACCTCAGTTCTCTAGACTGGTGTACCGCGTTCAGGTGCCGGAAAATAGCGCCAATGGTTCTTTGGTGGCCACTGTGAGTGCCACAGACCTGGACGAAGGCTCCAACAAGGAAATAACGTACTCCTTAGCTCAAAACCCAGAAACAATTCTCCAGACATTTCAGATTGACTCTCAAACTGGAGAGGTTCGACTAAGAGGGCCCCTAGATTTTGAAGCAATTGAAACATACGATATTGACATTCAAGCCACAGACGGAGGGGGCCTCTCTGCCCACAGCAAAGTCCTGGTGGAAGTGGTGGATGTGAATGACAATCCTCCTGAGGTGACAGTCTCCTCTGTATCCAGCCCTCTCCCCGAAGACTCCCCACTACAAACTGTAGTAGCCCTTTTCTCTATTCGAGACCGGGACATTCAGGTGGGAGGAAAAATCATCTGCTTCCTCAGAGAAGACCTTCCTTTTGCAGTCAAACCTACTTTCCGGAATTCTTACTCACTGGTTACTGACAGAGGCTTGGATCGGGAAGAGGTTTCCGGCTACAATGTCACTGTTGTTGCCATGGATACTGGGCCACCCAGTCTGTTCACAGAAACTGTGATTGAGGTGCTAATATCTGACATCAATGACAACCCCCCAGTATTTCAGGAAGACTCCTACATTTTGACTGTTCGAGAAAACAACAGCCCAGCAATTTTTATTGGCAAAGTTCATGCTGAAGATCTAGATTTGGGTGAGAATGCCCAAGTAACATATACTTTGCTGCCTCCAAAAAGTGGAGATTTAGCCGTGTTTGCTTATATCTCCATAAATTCAGATAACGGGAAGCTCTATGCACTGAGAACCATTGATTATGAGGCCATTCAAGATTTTCAGTTTGTGGTAAAGGCAACTGATGGGGGCTTCTTGTCATTGAGTAGCCAGGTTACTGTCAGAGTGGTTATTCTGGATGACAATGACAACCGCCCAATGATCTTGTACCCACTGCAGAATGGCACCTCACCCTGCAATGACTTGGTGCCCAGGTCTGCAGATGTGGGCTACCTGGTAACCAAGGTAGTGGCTGTGGATGGTGACTCAGGTCGGAATTCTTGGCTCTCATATCATCTCCTTAAGGCCACTGACCCTGGGTTATTCTCTGTTCAACAGCAAAATGGGGAAATCCGTACATTGCGGCAGATATCTGAGAGAGACCCTATGATTCAGAAACTGATCGTTCTTGTTCAAGATCATGGCCAACCAGTTCTTTCCACTACTGCCTCACTCAACATCTTGCTGGTAGATGGATTTTCTGAACCTTATCTGCAATTCCGGAATCCATCCAAGAATCCTACAAGGGTAAATCCATCCACTAAATATTTGGTCATTTCTCTAGCTGTGCTTTCCTTTCTCTTTCTCCTGTCTGTCACAGTGATCTTTGTTCTTCACATCTACCAGAAGGTTAAATATAGAGAAAAGTTCACAGTTCAAGAGCATTTCTATGATGACTGTAATTTCCCTAACAACCTGGTACAAGGAGGGGCCAGTGGGTCTTTATCTCAGCCGTGTCCCTATGAAATGTGCTCAGCCACTGGCACCAGCAATAGTGAGTTTCGGTTTCTTAAGCGCTTTATGCCCAACTTTCCCTTCCCCCATGGCACTGGAGAGGCAAAAACAGAGGCTTGCTCCAGTTTACCACCAGATTCTGAGAGGAATAGGTCTCAGGGGTCAGAGGATCATGGTCGAGTATCCGACAACTGTATGTAGCTCTTACTTATGAGCTATATGCAGCCATTATTTATGTCTCCCTTGGGTTCATTACTCCTGGCCCTGGAAATGCTTAGTTTCATAGAAAGATCTGGTTATTTTGCCTTTAAATTATTTTCCAGTAGACAGTTATGCATGCATAGGGAAGAAAACTAGGTTCTAGTTTTGATATATCAGGAAGCAATTAGATTTGAGAAGCAGAAATATAGTTTATCATTACTCAGAAGTTTCTAGATTTTTGTGCCTCAGTATGTGTAGATCATCTTTGACTCAAAATCTTGCATGTCGTCATTCATAATAACACGAATGCCTGGTGAATGGTGTCCTCATAGATAATCAGGAAAGACAGGTTAAAAGAAAAAAAAAGGATTGACTTATTTGAAAGGTGAATAAAGGCAGATATAAGACTAAAGAGATTCAGTTCAAGAATGTTTTCCAAAGTTAAGTTATATGTGAGTTTTTAATGGCTGTTTATGGCCTAAGGCAAATTTCAAGCTTCTCTTTATACCCAGATGTCCATTCCATTCCTTATCACAGAGCAGATATTTGAGTGTGGGGAATGAAAGGTAGGTAAGGAAAAAATAAATTAGGCTTACTATAGTTAACAAGTGCTAGCACACAACTATAAAATAAAAAGATATTAAGGAAAAAATGATCATGAATACCAATTAAGTAGTCTTAAGAAAAGATACATTTTCACATATTACTAGATTTTATTTTTTTTTCAACTTTTTCAGTTTTATTGAGATATAACTGTAGCACTATATAATCTCAAGGTGTATGGCATAATTACCTTACTTATGTGTATTGTGAAACTATTACCATAATAAGTTTAGTTAACAAACATGCCCCTCAATTTCAGATTGTCCTTCTTTAGGTTAGATTGATGTTCTGCATTATTGGGAAGAATACCACAGACATGATATTGTATCCTTCTCAAATTGTCATTATCAGGGGGTACATGATGTCATTGTGTCCTATTGAGCAGTAATATTAATCTTTTAAAACATTGTGGTTAAAGGCAACAAAAAATTTACCACATCAAACATTTTTAAGCGTACAGTTCAGTAGTGTTAAGGTAATACTAATCCTCATCACTCACTTAAGGTACTATGTCAAGCTTCTCCACTGTACAGTTGCTATTTTTCTCTTTGTAATTAATAAGTACTTGGAGAGAGACACTTTGAAATTATGCAAATATCATGTTTCTGCTTAAATTTTTGCTCATTAATTTTAGTATCTATTGCTGGCTACTTCTGATGGCAGTTAACACTGTGGCATTCGAGTGGTAATTTTCTATTTCCCTGATTCCTGTATATATAGACTCATGGATATTTTATTATTTAGGTTATAATCCAGTGCTATCATTATTTATTTTGTTGTTCAGCAAACTCTTTTATCTGGGATGAAAAGCAGATTTTTAAGACTGGAATTATCCACATAGAACACATTTTGACCAAAATAAGTATTTCTTTGTAACCCTATGCTATATGATCTTAAACAAGTATAAATTTCCTAAATCTTATTAAGGTTTCTTCATAATGATGTTTTAACTTTAAATGAAAATTATGTTAACTTGATTTGAAATTTCCATTACAATTTTAAAACTATTAAATAGATACTAAACTATGAAAAATTCAAATGTTATTATATGGGCATGTTTATAGATTTGTAAGCTATGTATAATAGAGATGTCAGTTAAAACAGAATTATATGCTGAAATTAGACATACAGATATATAAGAAATGGTATTTGTCTATCTGGTTTTGTTTAGTTATCCTAAAATAAGTAAATACATTGCTTTCTCTGTCATGTATCTGTATTTTGTTTTTGGTTTCTATTTAAAGATGAACTTTTTCTCAGGGTGCCTGGGTGGCTCAGTTGGTTAGGCATCAGATTCTTGGCTCAGGTCATGATCTCAGAGTTGTGAGATCCAGTCCTGTGTGGGGCTCTGCAATGGGCATGGAGCCTGCTTGAGATTCTCTTGTCCTTCTCCCTCTCTCTCTACCTTTCTACTCTCTGTCTCTCTCTCAAAAAAAAAAAATGAATTTGTCTCATTCATGGAAGCAAAATTCATCTGTGTAAGTCTCTCATATAAAGTCTATATTCTCTACAGTTGAACATCATCAAATTATGCGACTAATTAAACCACTGTTCTCCAACCAAAAAATTGACTTTGTTTACAAATTTATGTGACACTGTAAAAATAATAACAAAGTAGCAGTTGTATTTATATTATATTGAAACAAAATATTAAAAAGTAAAAATAGCACAGTTTTCTGTTAAACTGGTGAAGCAAGCTCATATGAATGCAGAAAGAAATAGATAAAATTTAAAATAAAAAATTAGAAAATACAAAACAAAAATGGAACAAACATAAAATGGTGAACAAGTATGAAACCCTGACATTTCTGAGTTGCAAAATGGGAAGTTGGCATCAGTTGCAATAAGTTTGGCTATTATGGGCTATTGGAAAAAAATATTCTCCATGCAAGATGGAGAATAAAAGCAAGCGTCATTGCTTACAGCCAGAAGGTATAATGGTTCTATCTTGTTCATGAAAAAAGGTTGAAAAACCACCACCAAAATATTTCTAAAGTTATGACAAACACAAATGGAAAGATATTCCATGCTCATATATTGGAAGAACAAATATTGTCAAAATATTTATACTACCCAAAGCAAACTATAGATTCAATGTAATCCCTATCAAAATACCAACAGCATTTTTCACAAAACTAGAACAAATAATCCTAAAATTTGTACAGAACCACAAAAGACCTTGAACAGCCAAAACAATCTTGAGAAAGAAAAGAAAAGCAGGAATTACCACGATTTCAGATTTCAAGTTACACTACAAAGCTGTAGTAATCAAAACAACATGGTCATGGCACAAAAATAGACATGTAGATAAAAAGAACAGAATAGAAAGCCCAGAAACAAACCCACGATTTTACAGTCAATTAATCTTTGAAAAGATACAAGAATATGCAATGGGAGGAGGACAGTTTCTTTAACAAATGGTGTTGAAGAAACTCACAGCTATATGCAAAAGAATGGAACTTCACCACTCTCTTACACCATACACAAAAATAAACTCAAAATGGATTAAAGATCTAAATGTAAGACCTGAAATCATAAAAATCCTAGAAGAGAGCACAGGCAGTAATTTCTCTGACATCAGCAATAGCAACATGTTTCTAGATGTTTCTCCTGAGGCAAGGGAATAATAAAGCAAAAAACTATTGGGACCAAATCAAAACAAAAAGCTTCTGCAAAGATAGGAAACATCAACAAAACTAATGGACAACCAACTGAGAGAAGACATTTATTTGCAAATGAAATATCCAGTAAAGGGTTAGTATCTAAAATATATAAAGAACTTACACAATCCAACATCCCCAAATCAAATAATCCAATTTAAAATGGGCAGAAGACATGAACAGACATTTGCCCAAAGCAGACATCCAGATGGCCAAGAGCCACAGGAAAAATGCCCAACATTACTTATCATCAAGAAAATACAAATCAAAACTACAAGGAGATATCACCTCGTACTTGTCAGAATGGCTAAAATAAAAGACACAAGAAACAACAAGTGTTGGCAAGGATATGGTGAATAAGGAACTTTTGTTCACTGTTGGTGGGAATACAAACTGGTGCAGCCACGGTGTAAAACATTATGGAGGGTCTACAAAAAATTAAAAATAGACTACCCTATTATCCAGTAATTGCACTCTAGGCATTTACCCATAAAAACACTAATTCAAAAGGATATATGCATCCCTATGTTTATTATAGCATTATTACAATAGCCAAATTATGGAAGCAGCCCAAATGTCCCCTGATAGATGAATGGATAAAGAAGAGATTATATATATATATATATATATATATATATATATATATATATATATATTGACATATATATGTATATGTGTTTGTATGTGTATATATAGATACATGTACCTAATGGAATATTATCCAGCCATATAAAGAATGAAATATTGCCATTTGCAAAACATGAATGGAGCTAGAGAGTATGATGCTAAGTGAAATAAGTCAATCAGAGAAAGACAAATACCATAAGATTTCATTCTGATGTGGAATTTAAGAAACAAAACAAAGGAAGATAAAAAGAAGAAAGACAAACCAAAAACCAGTCTTTTAAAAAAAGATTTTATCCATCTATTTATGATAGAGAGAGCACTTTGCCTGCGAGTGGGGGGAGGAGCAGAGAGGGAGACGAACATGCAGACTGCACTGAGCATAAGCCCAATGTTGCACTCCATCCCATGACTCCAAGACCATAACCCAAGCTGAAATCAAGAGTAGGATGCCCAACCAAATGAGCCACACAGATGCTCCATCAGACTCTTAACAATAGAGAACAAACTGACAGTAACCAAAGGGGAGGTGGGCAGGAGGATGAGTGAAACAGGAAATGGAGTTTAAAGAGTACACTTACATGATGACCACTGAGTAATGTATAGAATTGTTGAATCACTATATTGTACACCTGAGAGTATTATAGCACTGCATATTAATTATATTGGAATTAAAATGTAAAAATTAATAAAATTTAAAAAAGAAAGTCTCAGTAAAGAAACAGAAAATACGAAGAAGAACCAAATAGAAATTTTAGAACCAAGATGTACAATAAACAAAATAAAAAGCTTAGTGGATAGCCTTAACAGCAGAATGGAGGAAAGAGACAAAAGAATCAGTTGATTGGAAGAAAGAACAATAGTTACCCAAACTGAACAAGAAAGAAAATATACTAAAAAATAAATGCACAGACCTTCCCAGATGTATGGGAAAATAACAAAAGATGTAATATTTGTGTCATTGAAGTCTTAGAAGGAAAGGAGAAGGAAGATAGGGCTGAAAAATACTCAAATTTGGCAAAAGACAAGAACGTGGATATTTAAGAAGCTGAGCAAACTCCAAACAGGAAAAATCCAAAGAAATCCACACCAAGACATATTGTAGTGAAACTT